GAGCGGGGCAGTGCGGTAGGGGAAGAGACGGTAAAAGGGAACTGACTCGTCGAACGTGACGTCCTGAGACGCAAAGACACGGCGCGAGGTGGGGTGGTAAAACTGCCAACCAGGCGCGTCAGGGACAAAGCCAAGGAAGACACAGGGAACAGCGCGGGCGGAGAGCTTGTCCGCGGTGGTATCGCGGACAAAGGCACGAGCACCCCAGACCCGGAAACGTGACGCATCGCCAACCTTCCCCGTCCACAGCAGTGTGGGCGAGGTCTCCGGCAAGGAGACACGGGGCCAGAGGTTGAGCTGATGCGCGGCGTACCGGACCGCAAACGGCCACAGAAAATGGGGGGCAGCCGCATGGATCATGGAGGTACGAGCGACCTCCATGACTAAGCCAATGTGGCGCTCAGCAACCCCATTCTGCTGCGGAGAGGCCGGAAGCGTGAACGACTGGGTGATGCCGTGCTCCGCATAGTAGGCTGCCAAGAGGTCGGAGGAGAACTCACCACCTCTGTCAGAGTGCAGACGCAGGACAGGAAAGTCCGACCGGAACCGCTCGCGGAGCTGGAGACGAACTGCGCGGATCCAGGGGATCAAAACAGCAGGGACATCCGCCTTGCTCCGCAAGGGGAAGACCGTGGTGTAACGCGTGTAGTCGTCGACAACCAGCAGGAAGTACCGCTCGTGGCCCTGTCCCTGGACGCGGGCTGGGCCCCACACATCCAGGTGGAGCGTCTGCAGTGGAGCCTCTGTGGGAGGAAACGAGGAGGAGTGAGGAGCGGCGCGCTGCCGCCCCTCGACGCAAGGAATGCAGGGCGGCGCAGGCGAGGGAGGGAGGGCAGGCAGAGACCTGGGAAGACCAGAGACCAGGGAGCGAGAGTGCATGCTACGCAGGCGAGGCAAGGAGGGGTGACCAAGGCGGTGGTGCCACAGGAGAGTGTCGTGCGACAAAGCGCGACACTCGCAGGGGGCCGCCAGCTGACCAGACGTAGACGCAGACGCAGCTACCTGAGGGGACTCAGTGGTCAGTGTGTACAGACTCGAGCCAGGTGCACGGGTGAACGTGGCCAAGTGCCGGCCCGTCCTAGCACACGTACAGTGAGTCACTTGCTGACTCGCAGGAGTGAACTGGTCAACCCCCCGATCCTGGAGGTCAGCTCCACTCACCAAGTTCGTAGAGAACGAGGGGAGGTAAAGACCTGACAGCGAGCCGGACGGGGCGGCCGGACACGGCAGAACCGTGGAGTAGTGGGCAAGGACCGGACCCCCGGAGGGGTCCGCCAGGGAGACTGGAACTGGCCGACTAAGCGGCGTGAGTGTGGTGCAGTCGCGAAAGAAGGAGCGGGAAGCTCCTGAGTCAAGGGTGAAGGTGTGCGAGACCGCAGTGGGCGCAGTACCAGAGAGAGCAGACTCACCAGCACCTGAAGCCACGGCCTCACCAGTACCTAGAGCAGTAGACGTACTAGCACCGAGAGCAGCAGCCTCACCAGCACCTAGAGCAGGAGACGCACTAGCACCTAGAGCAGCAGCCTCACCAGGGTCAGGCGGTACGCACAGGTAACAGGCACGGTCAGCACTAGTAGGCAATGCATACATGGCAGTGTAAATAGCATCATAGTCAAGCGCAAAGATATCTACCCTCTGTCCATGCAGCTCCAGCCAGGTGGGGAGCTCAGCCTCGTCGCCAAACACTGTGCGCCAGTCGTCGCTCAGACGGGCGAAGCAGCGGGACTGTGTGTGACCAAGCGTCCCACAAGGCTGACCAGTCCTAGCACCTGTGCGAATGACGTACGGGCAGCGAACTGTACGCGTAGACCTGCTACACTGAGCGTACCACTCCTGGAGCTGCCGGGGCGTAAGTGTCTCACGTGGACGCCCCTGCAGCTGCAGTTGGCCACTGCCAGACGCTCCCAACTGATCAGCTCCAGGGCGAGCAGGAGGCAGCGCTAGGGCTGCTGGACGGCGCGCATAGTGCAGCACGTCACAAGGCAAGGCAAGGCAGGCAGGTACGCAGGGTAGCGCGGTAACCGCAGCGGTAGGTGGGCCCGAAAAAAAAAACGGACCTTAGTGCTCTGATACCATGTTAGAATCTAACAGCAAGAATGAATGAACTAACAGGATGCAGGAGTACAAATAGTAAACCCTAATTGGGTTGTACCCCATATGGGCTACCCCACTACAGCCTAGACAATATGCAGCACATATAGTTTGACACGCACTGCTTCTACGTTGGCGCACCAGCGGGCATACTGTACTATTGGTTCAGTGGGACCGTGGTGAATTTTGTCTTGGCGCGCTGTGGCGAAATCCTCTGGTAAAAAAAGGTTCGGTAAAAGTGTTATTGGGCCCGTACCCTTATACAGCCAGTGTAACCAAAATTGTTACCAGAGTAGTTTACAACGAATCCTGATTTAACTAGGGTAACTATTTTCATAGCCTGATTTCACAAGGGTAACTGCCAAAAAGCGACCTACTACCATCAGGGCAAAAAGGGTATTTTACTTTTGAAATTTGGGCCCTGATTCTTACCTTATCGCATGCTTGGGCGTCATCGGATGATAACGTTGCCAAAACCTGCCATTTGCCGAAGGCCTTTCCACTACTGATGAGATTATTAATTTAATTGTAGCATGATTGGTTGGTTTTCATAATGTGCAATGATATCGATTTGTTTTACATTGTGTACCGCTTGTTTTCAGAGCTAGGCTCCTTAGCGCGTACGCGTGCATGTCGTTTCATACCTTCAAGCACCTGCTGTTTTCCTGCACGTGGCGAACTCGTTCCGCGAGGATACTACTGATCCTCAGTGCGCTGCACAACTCATGCACGGGGGCCACACTGCGGAAGCGGGCTCGTTTTTAACGGGTCCCAGGCTTGATGGGATAAGGATGAGGACGAGGAGGAATAAGATCGTTCAATTTTTTGTTAGGATGCGTTGTGCCGCTGCGACGCGGCTCCGCTGCGTCGCGACGCGAAGAGACCCATCAGGGCGAGGATCTCTAGGCTGGGACTGGCTTATATATCAGCCTCGACAATAGAGTCCACCAGAACTGGTCTTTTGTCTTGTCTTTTTCTTTTCAACTTCCTCAGTAATTCATCTATAAGGCTGCGTACCAGCAATACTTTCTTATCAGACTGATCGATCACCAACTGCACCTCTCGAAGTCATGTCATTCACTTCCCCCACAATGAAGCGCCAAGTACTAGTGGTTGCTGCTATTTTCATAGTCTTAGCATGCTGCAGCGTGGTAGCTTCCTCTGAGACCATCAAATACGACTGTATTAAGCCGTGCGTCTACCCTCAACCCGACTTCGACGTCGTTGTGGCCTGCGTCAAAGCATGCATGGTATGTCATTCCAAAATGATTCAGATTTGTTTGAGAATTGCCACGAACACTCTTCTGCGCTCTCTTGTTTCACCTGCCAGGTGGATTATCAACCAAGATCTCCGTTTACGTACCTTCTTGTTCGCTCTTCGTGGTGGAAAGTGGAAACATTAACGGCGTAGCTTCAATGCTTTCCTCGGAAAAGGCGTGAATTGCCCATTGCTCTTTGCTCTTTGCTCAAATCTTCCTATTGCATCATTGCTTCTCCCCCTTCGCATTACCCCCTATTCCATGCATATGGACCGCTCTGGACCTCTATGGACCTCATCAACCGCATCACCAACATTGCATGACACGGCAACCGATTTCAAAATTCACACAAGCAGAAGTGTGTGGCCTCAAGTGGGGACTGCAGCGTCAGCTTTGAGCCAAAATGGGCTCATGGTCCTACTGGTGCGTAGATAAAACCCTGGTCTTTCCCAATCCCTCTTTCTAGATCTCTCTCGGGTAAGAAGAACTGGTGACACTCGTTCGTATCACATTAATTCACTTATGGTGGTGGGCGTTGATTGAGGCCTGTGGTGACCCGTTTATGCTGCTTGCACCCAACTGCTTTATACGGCGCGGCATTTCAAGTAAGAACACACTCACTTTCCGTTCGATATTCTCCTCGTCTTCCTCCCTTTCGCCTCTTGCATAAACCAACCACCAGGCAAAGTGATCGTTGGTTACCGATGCAATAGGTCGTGCCCGTGGTGGACATGGCTGCCCATTGCCATCTCTATTCTGCTGTTCGTCGTTGGCATCGCAATCATTATCAAACTGTGCCGCAACACGCCCAATAGGGTTGCCAGAGCTGCTGACTTAGAATATCGCCCAGTAGGGTCCTGACATTGCTCTTTGGGGACACACCGTCTTCCTGGTCACAGGATCCAAGCAAGTGTCTTTTACTCAAGAGCCCATAGAACTTGATAAGTTTGCTGCTCGAAGTGTTGATAAGCTGCTGACAAAGTAGGCAATGCTAGTGGAATGTTAGTGCTGCTGTTTGGGCATTTAGTTGGATGGCAAATTGCTATAGCATGAAACGTAAGAACGTGAATGCAGAGGAATGCCATGAGGAGAAGTCAGGCGTGGAATGAAAGCCGCAACACTCTTGTCACTTTGTTACACTTGCATAATCGAGAACGTATTTCTCTGGTAGCATGCTACTGTTTAACAAACATTCGTGTGTCGCAGACTCCCTGCGCTTTTTACCGCTCCATACTGAACTGACCCCCCACATCCTCCCCTCTGTCCCATTCACCCCCCACTCCATTCACCCATTCACCCTGTCTCCAGCAGGTTGGTGCAGCCACCAACCGACCTGACATCTGCTTTCGCTCGCCCTCAACCTCCCACATTCACCCCATGTCTCACCAGGTGGTGGCAGCCACCAACCGGGCCGACATCCTAGACCCGGCTCTCATGCACTCAGGGCAACACGGTCCTTCCTGCCCCAACACCCCACCTCCTTCACTCCCCTACACCCCACCCCATTCACCCCGTTCACTCGCCTTCAACCCCCCACATTCGTCCCATGTCTGACCAGGTGGTCCCTTCACTCGCCTTCACTCGGGGCGGCTCAGGCCTTGCTGCCGCTACACCCCACCCCATTCAACCCCCTTAAACCCCATTCACCCCATGTCTCACCAGGTGGTGGCAGCCACCAACTGGGCTGACATCCTAGACCCGGCTCTCATGCGCTCGGGGCGGCTGGGCAGGAAGATTGAGTTCCCTCACCCCACTGAGGAGGCCCGAGCTCGCATTCTGCAGGTGAGGGGATGTCAGATCCATTCACGGAAAACGAACGTTCACCCGGATGTGAACTTTGAGGAGCTAGCGCGGTCAACAGACGATTTCAATGGTGCTCAACTCAAGGCCGTCTGTGTAGAGGCCGGCATGCTTGCCCTGCGCCGCGATGCCACTGAGGTGATTCTTCCGAGCCTTTTATTCCTCGTCTACTATGCTTGCGTTACGGTACCGTACCTAACCTCCTTGACTGAATGTGTGGCGTGCCGTGTGCCTTCCTTTGATAGGCCATGTTTTGCTAACTAGTCGATTTTCTGTGTTGTGCTTGATTGCAGGTGACACACAAAGACTTTAATGAAGGAATCATTCAAGGGCAGGCCAAGAAGAAGGCTAGCCTTAACTACTACGCATAATTGGAACACACTTGCTTTGTCTGTCAGTTACCGGCACATAATCCAAAACATTTTTCTGCACACGCTGTGTTTTGTTTTGGTCATGGTGGTGGCGCATGTCACAGCCTCGCAGTTGCAGTGCAGCGTCTCTATTTGAGAGCAATGGAATGCACATCCTATCGGCGTGTGCACGAATGTCATCAGACGATGGATTTGTTAGCAGCACACAAAAAAGCCGCCACAAACTCATCCTGCAAGAGGGTCTTGTTCTTTTGTCGGCAACTTCCCTAACTCGAAATGCTTTGTTCATTCATAGCTGTGTCTCGTACCGAAGAGAGAAATTGTTATGATACTGGGGTAATCGGTCGGATTATAATTCATTTATCATAAATCATGAAGCGCTTGGTTCAGAGCCGAATGCTCCTTAGCGCGTACGCTTGCATTCCCTTCCATACCCCAACACCCTCGGCTTTGAACCCCAAGCAAGGTCACTCGCCGCTTATTCACTCACGCTGTTTCCGCCAATGGCGTACATGCGTCACAGCGCGACTACAGATGCCGCAGACAAGACTACTGTTGCAATCCCGCTTTCGAGTGACATCTCGTTGAAACCCTACTATTTGCTATCCAAGCAAGGACGCACCCATTATGGACCCACCCATTGTTGGCGTTGGACGTGGGCGCAGCCGACTTTTCTGCGTTTTTATTTTCTGCCCGCAGCGCACTAGCGTCGCCACCTCCGCAAGGATGTTTACCCCAGAGGGCTGCACACCTCACACATCGGCCGCACAATGCAAGCTGATTTGTTCGGATCGCGTCCGGTTTCGATGGGCTAAGGATAAGGAGGAGAAATGACCTTGAACGATTGTAAGGATGAGGTGAGCGCTAGTTGTCCTGCTCGCGACTCCCCTGCGTCGCGACGCAGGGACCCATCCGAGCGAGGTTTCCTCGGCTGTCACATCCGCCAATCGCTGCCGATTTTTCTGCGTTATTTTCTACCCGCAGCGCGCCTGTGTCGCCACTCCACCCGAACCGCAAGCATGTTCTCCCCAGAGCGCTGCACACCTCACACACCGGCCGCACTATGCAAGCTGATTCGGTGTAACGCTTGTGGGGCTGTGGGGCTTACACGTAAGGGTTGAGGGCCTCCGCTGCGCCCCAAATATAACCCTCGTTTCGACCAATGGGGTAGCGAGGCGTTATATTCCTTCTGACGCGTCCGGGTTCGATGGGATTAGGATAAGGATAAGGATCAGGAGGAGCATTTTCCTTGGATCAAAGGATGAGGTGAGCGCCGACTCTGTTGTTCCTGCCTGCGATTCCCCTGCGTCGCGACGCGGCTCGCCCGCGCGAGGTTCCTCGGCTGGACTGCCCATAGCATAAAACACCTGAATCTACTAGTAGTGGTCATTGTCTTTTCGTTCAGCGTTCTCATATCGTCATCTATCAGGCTGCATAATCAATACTATCAATCAGGCTGACGAATTGATACCTCAACTGCACCTCTCGAAGTCATGTCGTTTGTTTCCCCCACAATGAGGAGCCTAGTAATGGTTCTCAAAGTAACTAGGCAAGAATGAATGAACTAGCAGAAGTTTGGGTACAAATATAAAACCCTAGTTGGGGTTGTACCCCATATTGGCTACCCCACTACAGCCTACAAGCATAATACAGTTTAACACACCCCCATAGGCAAAGTGGGGGAGAACAAAGGGTCACAAGACCAGTCCAGCAAAGCAAAGCAAAGCCCAGGGTGGATCACAACGTCACCACACTCCGAGCACAAGTAAAGGCCACAAGGCCAGTTCACATGCAGTGCTAGATATAGTACAAGACAAGCAACACAGTGATCAAAACCTAGCAAGCAAGCAACAAGATATATATAAAGTACAGTACAAAGAATGTCAAGCAGTGAGCAAGTGAGGAAACGTGGACACAAGGCCTAAAGAAGTACAGTGCCGCTGATGATCACTAGGCGGGAGCGCCTTGGTGAAGATATCAGCAGTGTTGGCCTTCGAGTCCACGTACACAAGCCGAAGCTGACCGCGCTGCTGAAGCTCTCGAGCAAGAAAGTAGCGAAGAGCAATGTGCTTCGTCCTGTGCTCCAGTCTGTGCTCCTGACACAAGGCAAGAGCCGCCTTGTTGTCACCGTACAGAACTGGAGGAGAACTAGGCCGCTCTCCCAAGTCAGTCAGCAGGTAGGTGAGCCAGCGTAACTCCTGTGCAGCCATGGCTGTGGCGTAGATCTCAGCCTCACAACTAGAGCCGAGAACAGAGGAAGAGCGGGTGGACCGCCACGAGACAGAACCTGAGCCAAGGCTGAAGGTGTAACCCTGTGACGACCGCTGCGTAGCCAGGTCGTCCACCCAAGAGGCGTCCGAGTGACCAGTGAGGACAACTCTGTCGCGTCCTCCAAGCACCAGCCCCATGCCTGATGTACTGCACAGGTACCGCAGCACCCTCTTAGCAGCCTCCCAGTGCTCTCGCCTGTGTCTCCCAGGCGCAACGTAACGAGCAAGGATGCTAAGAGGGTACGCGAGGTCAGGTCGAGTGCAAGTCATCAGGTACATGAGGCAGCCTACAAGCTCTGGGTACGGGCCACTCGGCTCTACGGACTCGTCCGAAGGTGGAGCTGAGAGTGAGTGGCTGGTAGCCAGAGGTGTGGCCTGTGGTGAGGAGAACTGGAAGCCGAAGCGCTGAAGGACCTGCTGCACCATGTGTGACTGAGTCAGGGTGATGGTGCGACGGGCTCTGTCCCGGGTGATCTGCAAGCCAAGGTAGCTACGCAGTTCACCCAGGTCAGTGCAGGTGTGTCTCTTCTGCAGCTCCGACTTCACACGAGCGAGTGCCTCAGTGTCAGCAGTAGCAAAGACCAAGTCGTCGACGTACACGAGGATGTAGAACGGCGGCAGCGACGTGTCAGTGCGCAGAAACAGCGACGGGTCAGCAGTAGACGGCGCGAACCCAAGAGCCGCAAGAGTAGTCCTCAGTGTGTCGTGCCACTCACGTGGCGCCTGGCGGAGACCGTAGACTGGCCGGCGGAGACTCCACTGGGTACCAGGGGGAAACGACCCAGTAAAGCCAGGTGGGCGGCGCAGCCAGATCTCCTCGTGCAGGCTGCCCTGCAGGAACGCTGTGCTGAAGTCAAGAGAGTGAAGCTCGTAGTCACGCTGAGCAGCAACGTGCAGCAGAACCCGAAGAGTGGTCATCTTCGGGGTGGGGGAGAAGGTCTGGAAGAAGTCGACCCCCTGACGCTGACTGAAGCCTCTAGCAACGTAACGAGCCTTGAAGACAGGCGGAGAACCTGGCGGCCGCTTCACCCTGAAAATCCACATGCCATCGACGATGTTCGCCCCAGGAGGGGGAACCTCGTCGACGTAGGTGCCTGTGGACTTCTAGGATGCCATCTCTGCGTCCATGGCTGTCTGCCACTGAGAAGAGTAGGGACCCGAGATCGCCTCTGCGTAAGTGCGCGGAGTGGGGATGTCTAGTGCATCCGGGTCTCCCTCAGGGGCAAGCAACCAGGCCACGAGATGAGGTACAGCAGCCGCAAGAGAGTCAAAGTCCTCCTGCCTGTCCTCAAGGACGTCCGTGCCAAGAGCACACTCACCCCCGACGGACGGAGGACAGACAGACGTAGACTCTGACTCAGCGACAAGGCTAGCAGCGTAGTCTAGACGACAGGCAGCAGCAAAGTCAACCAACTCAGCGACCAGAGCAGACGCAGCCGAGGACTCAAAGGTGGGGTCAGTGACAACAGTAGCAAGGAGACGCGTGACTGTAGGGTGCTCAGCGCGATACCGGTCAGACTCAGGGTCCGGAACGGCAGGCAACGAGGACGCAGGAGGAGACGGTAGAGGGACACGCCGAGGAGCAGTAGAGGGACGCAGAGTCATGTAGTGAGTGCCTGGGACAGGAGGAGGACGCTCACGACGGACACGACTACCAGTGCGAGCAGGACGAACAGGCGACACAGGACGAGACTCAGACTCACGACGCTCTGTAAGACCTCCTGTGGGACCAGTATAAGGAGAGGGAGCAGGGAGAGGCGAGGCAGGCGGTAACTGTGACTGCGGCTGGACAGGCGGAGGACACTCTACGGAGGGAGGAGGACAAGGAGGAGGAGCCTGCCCAAGAACCTGCTGAAGGAGCGGTACGAAGTACGGTCGCGGCCGCGCAGCGTCTCCAGAAGCAGAAGGGACTCCAGCGGCCGGGTCCTCAGCACCAGTAGGAGCTCCAGCGTCCGGGTCCACAGCACCAGCAGCAGCTCCACCGGCCGGGTCCCCAGCTCCAGCAGCAGCTCCACCAGGTGGGTCCGCAGCACCAGCAGCAGCGCCACCCCCAGAGTCGGCAGCTCCAACTCCGCTAGCACCGCCAGCGCCAGAGTCCCCAGCTCCAGCAGCTCCAGTCGCAGTGCTCCCAGAATAGCCAGTCCCGGCAGCTCCAGTACCCCCAGTACGAGCACCCCCAGGACGAGCAGCTCCAGTACCCCCAACTCCAGCCGAGCCACTAGGACGGCGAAAGCGTCGGACGTACCAGTCACGAAGCTGCTGCGGTGTGAGAGACTGCTCAGCACCCCGAACCGGAGCACCCCCAGACGCAGTAACCCGAGGCTCCGTAGGCTCAGTAGCAGCACCCCCAGGCTCAGTACCCGCAGGCTCAGTACCCGCAGGCTCAGCACCCCCAGTCGCAGCACCCCCAGGCTCAGCACCCCCAGGCGGCAAACTCTCAGGCACAGTACCCTCAGCTCCAGCACCCGCAGTCCCAGCACTCCCAGGCCCCGCACCCGCAGGCTCAGCACCCCCAGGCGCAGCACCCCCAGGCTCCGTACTCTCAGGCACAGTACCCTCAGCTCCAGCACCCTCAGTCCCAGCACCTGCAGCCCCAGCACCCCCAGGCCCAGCACCCCCAGGCTCAGCACCCCCAGGCTCAGCACTCCCAGCAGCACCACCCGCAGCAGCACCTGAGTCACCTGTGACCTCGACAGGCTCAGCGACGGGAGGAGGGTCTACCTGAGAGAC